TTTGGTTACTATCTGTGATACCGCGGTTGTAAAATGGCATCTGGAATTTCTTATCAGTCACGTGATTTTATCGAGTCCGGTAATTATAAAGCACCTGTGTGAAATCCTAAACTGGACCCCTGCTGTTGTTTCAATCTTATCTACACAAAAGAAAGAAGTATCAATCAGCGGGTGGCCAGTTTATGTGAAATCCGAGGTTTATTAATAAGAAGGTGGCGCTGTATCATATAAAACCCCTACCTTCAGAAAGAAGTCGTATGATGTAAAAAACTTGAAAAACGGACGAGAATTGTTCAACCTACAACAGTTTAGCATGGAAAATTGTATTTAATTTAGCATATTTTTGCTTTTTACCGTTTGTTTTAAACTGTTCTAAAAGTATTTTCCGGTTAAAATCGGATCCCGAGTAAAACAATTAAATACCGATGAATCGATCAGGTTTCACATGATGTTGAACAAAATAATGTAGACAGATGTAGACATAGAATATTTTACTGTTGAAATGTGCCAAGTTTATCGAGATTTATAAAAATATTTACTTTCAAGTAAAATTTTAATGATTACGTTATTGAAACTGGACAATTAAAATCGGGATCATAAGTTCGTAAACATGTTAAATTTATATCTATTTTAAAAAAGTGTTTACAATTGAATACTAATATTAATGTAGCACGTTACAGCAAAAAGAAAATCAACCATACAAAACGAGCTTGACGCTATCTGTCTAACCGCAAATTTATTTTATATGAATTTGTTTATGTACAAATTAAAGAATAGAAACGTTTAAAATTGTGAATATTTGATTTGACTGGTATACACGGAAGACTTGGATTATTCGTATTTAATAAAAGGGGGTCGACACATATTTTTTTGTACAATCATCTTCTTAACTTTCAGAAATGGCTTCTTAATTAACTGGTTTTAAGTATTAAAATTGAAAATGATCCACCCTTTTTCTTAAATTCAATATGTGATAACTGTCGGCCTAAACTATTAAGATCGAAAAAGACATAAATAGGAAAAATAGACTAAAATCAACATTGAATGACTGACTCTATTCGGTAGCGTACAGCAGCGGAATGTAACGAGTGAACTATTCAGGTTACTTCGTACGTACATACGACAACAACTGGTCTATTCGTAATTTTCCGGGAACACGAAAATGACCGAAAAGTGTCAGTGATTTGATCTATCACATGCCGAGAGTCAATTACCATGCCATATATTAACCAATTAACGAGTTATCGAAAGATGGGCGGTAACGCAGATGAAACCTTTGAAGTGACGACGTTGTTATTCCTTTCAATATTACTTCCATGGTCTATTGAAAATATAATTAATAGAAAACATGGAAAAAGTTGAATATATGCTCCATAATATTTATTTACCATGCTTTACATAGAATGTTTTGGTAGTACACTAAAACTCTTTACTTAAACTAATTTAATAAACATCATGAATGAAATTATAATTTACAATTTAGCTATAGATGTATAAAATACATCTATGATTAAGTAACTAACTTATTCGTAGAAAATATAAAAATGATTTAAAAAGACACAATTTCTCTTCTAAAAATGTAGAAAAACTGATGGAATAAAGAAAAGAATGTATTTTCTTATTAATTTTTTCCCAAATTCGACGCAGTTCGACACCTTAATGAAGCATATCAAAGAGAAGGTGTATTTTAGAAGTTCAACAACGTACTATTCCCATTTTCAGAAACTAACAGGAAAATAGTTTTTATAAAATATAAAGATATACAAGCCTTAAAAAAACTTTTTTTTAATTTAGTTCAATATTTCCCTTGTAAAATGCGCAATTTCTGACCGATTTCATCCATTTTTTCACCATTTTATTTGTCTGTCCAGTGCGCTTAAAATAGACATACTTTCACAACAGAAGGGACATAACTCGAGAAGATAATTAAGAAAAACTATTCTGCTGTACTGGTCAATACAGATCAACAGATAAGAGATGTAGCTAGAGTTACTTGATTGACACTTGAAACATCAAAGACAGTCAATTTGGTCATGGTTCTTTTTATCTAACAATAGAGAACAGTAGGGAACTTTTGACGAGCTTTATCTATGGGTTTATACATCTATGGTTATCATGACTGTTGAATGTGATCACGTTATTCCTGTAGCTCACAGACAAATGCAGGTGAAATTCAAAACTTAACAAAAGTTTTAAACAAAGAAAATATATTCAAATTCACTATCTGTAGACTGTACTTCCTTTGACAAACTCTCAACAAATCTTGTCATTAATTATGACACATATCTACCTTAAACAGTCCCAGGAGTTTAATCATAAATTAAAACAGCTGTAAAAGGAGAGTTGAGTCTGAGTGATACATTTATAGGTAACGTCACAGTACCCAAATTGCAACGAGTACCCAAATTGCACCTATTCAACAAAAATCGCTGCGGAAATCTTACAAGTTTTCTTTGAGACTAAACAATTTGTATTGTTATGATTTGACATTATACATGTCTTTTAACATCGGTTAATATATTTAGATATACACAAATCGTTCACAATGAGAATATATCAACAGATGAAGCATTCCCGGGAAAAAGTAAATCTACGAAAACGACACTCGTCCGACACCATGCGAAGTTATCTAATTATCATCTTTTAAAAATGTTAGCAACTTCACAACTACAAGTTAATGTTCATGACCAAAATAAAATAAAGTACAAACAAAAAAGCAATAAAATGCTTCACAGCCTGATACAACCACAGATGTAGATTTGGCATATAAAAAACATCAAAAATTTTATGTCAGTTGAAATCAAACATATTTTAATTTTGGACCCTTCAAACTTTAATATGGACTAATTTGAAAACGGGTATCATGTGAGCCCGAACATTTCTATTCAGCAGCAGTCTCCAAGTACATATCTCCTTAATTTTATATGATAGTCCAACAAAAATGTTGAAAATGTGTACATTTAATTTTTTTTCTAGAATCTCTCATGTCATACATGTGAAAGCGGTACCTTTTTGGTCACTATTTATGTGTTGCGTCTAAATATGAATTGTAACACTTTATAGTGACTGACCAGGTCAAACAAATACTTCTCAAGAAACATGCAGAGAAGAAGACAACTTGGAACAGCACCAGCCATGCCAGACTATGTATGAATAAAAACTCAGATCGGAATAGCATGGACGATATGTTAGTTATATGTCCTAGTGAATAGTAAGGAAAGCTATCAATAATTCTGCAGATAACGCAATTTTATCACTGAGGTTTATTGTACATTTTCTGTTCAAATTTTCACACATTCAGTGAATCGTTCAAAAAGGCTAAACTAACTTTTTATTACCAGCTGATTACTGAAAGTTTCAAACAATGACAAGTGTTTCATTCATGAAATAACTTGTGCGTTTCTGCGAAAAAAATCATGTGCAATTTTGTGAATTAAAGGGAAAGAAGATCCTTTTGCGGTGCACTCGTGCATGTCAATTGCGAACTGACCCAATATATTTTCCTTATCATGACCAGTTCACTGATACTGACGTTGACATTATCAAGAAGTACACATCAAAGGAAAAATGCACAAATTACCGATAAAATAATTTACACACCCTGTTTCGTGTGTATCACCTGCCATATCAGTATTTGTTGCATTTATATATAAATGAGAAATAATCAATGTAAAAATGGTAAATTTTTGGAGAAAAAAAACAAAAATTATGGAAAAAACAACCCAAAAATGTTGTTTTTGACCACTGACTCCTAAACTGTTGGTACAATAATTATGATAACCCCCAAAATCAATTCTAACCTTCCTTTTGTGTATTGAAGTTGAACCTTCTGGTACAATTTCATACATTGTCATAGAGATCCATTTAAAAATAATTCAACAAACAGAAAGCGTTGTTTGCAATACTAAATAAAAAAACAGCTACAACTTTTAGATATTGATGAAAAAGATATTCCAAATCCTCCACCTTTACATGAAAATCAACAAAAAAATAATTTAATAATGTTATGGATTGTATAACAGTATTCATAGTTTTGAAATTAAACAAATGTCTTATTGTTTTAAATTTTGTAAAATTTGCAAAGAAAGAAAAATGGATATGAAAATGCACAAGATAATGAATGATATAAATCACCAATAAATTCATTTTCAGCAGAAAACAATAAGGGAGCAACCATTTAGCTTCAAAGGGGGGAGGTATGGTTTTTTGTTTGAGTCAGATTTTTTACACGTGAAGCGCTTCAATGCTATCAATCAAAATTATTTAGTCAAAATATAACACTAGAAGGTAAGGGGAAAATCTGGATTCAGAATATTTTTTTTTGTCGTCTGCTTGAACAGAGTATTTTTTTTCCATCAATTTTTTAAGAAAAATACTAGTCCAAATAATTATGACGTCTAGGAAGGCTAAATTTTAAATTTTTGCTTTGACGCCTTCCTGCGACGCGTCCGCAAAGCAAAAAAATACCATACCTCTCCTGCCTTTTGAAGTTCAATGATCTTTCCCTAAACATTTTCCATCTGAACTTATTATTTTATTTTAGACAAAAACTATACAGATATGTAGGACATTCGACCTGAACATGCATGAAATATTTGCCACTGGACGTTAAGCAACCACCAATCAATCAATATATAGGACATAGTCTTGGTATAAAGCTGCATGGCATTTAAGGTAGCGCCTTCCTCATATTAACAAAATAAAATAAAATATGATATATCAGTGTACAAAATAGTGACCCAAAAAACTGTAACATACTCATGATATCACAGTGCGCAATATTTAAAACATAAAAAAATATTCCGGAAAACATTGGTAAACAGAAAAGAAATTGTTGGCGTCTATTCAAAATTTATATCTGTTAAATTATTACGAAAAATGTCAAATTTACAAAAGTGCTCCCCAAAATGTAAAAAAAAACAACGTTACTTTAAAAAATTCAACATAAATAAGACACTTGCATAATTATTTCCGAAATGACGGAATTTGACCTAACACCGCACAAAAGTCACGAGGTTCATTTTCATCCGGGAATCTGTTGGTAAGGACCATCGAAGGGAAGCGTGAGGATCAAAACTAAGGGGCTGAAACCCCACTTTTATACAAGTATTCGCGTTGGTAAGGACATCTAAAGTCATTCTGAAGAATATAGACAATATTTCATCCAATTATTAGATTTAAAACCCTTGATTTACGCTCGTTTCTTTCACATGTTCACTCACGTTCAGATCAAAACAATAGTCAGTGCGAGCTAAAAATATCGTATTTCATCAGTGAAAACACTTAATGTACATACTTTGCTGGTGTTTGTGATCCAGAGTCTGAAGCTGTTTCTTTTTATTGAAGAAACATAGACTAAATGTGTAAACCGTTCAGACTATCAGTCTTAAAATAAGTTGAGAAATATATAATTTACCATTTGTGTGTATCAAATCCCTATAAATAGCCGTTTGTAAGGTACCGGGTCTCTTTCCACAAAATAACCTTACCATAAATAAAAAAATATCACAAGTTTTACTGAATTGTTCACGATGTACAAGTGTTTTTGAGAAATTTTTGTGAAATGAGTCAGAATCAACAATAGATCTTACTGCTATTTGGGAATCTGCAACACTTGACCCGAGAATCTGCGCCACTTGAACTATTTACGTCATACAACAATAGTTTTTCCTTTGTGGCATCAGACATTTTCCATTATGACGTCAAAAATTTACAGTAACCTTTGTGATGTCCAGTAATTTGCTACTAATGGCGGACAAATAGCGATAAGGTGTATTGGATAGTGAATGCAACCATTGTTACTGACCTGTACTTTGTTTTTAATATCATACCATCACACATTGTATGTCAATGTAATGCAGAATTGTATGGAAGTATTAAAAGTTAAGTAGTAATTTTGTCAATAAGTCTATGCACAGTCTCACTGTGTCAGAGTTGAAAGTTAGGGTGGGCTGAATGCTCATGAACATGTTCAACTCTGCCACATTCTGTGTCTGTCCCAAGTCAGGTTCCTGTTAATCTTTGGTTGTTGTTTGTCATCTGTTTTTCTTAAATTATTTTGTCATAAATCAGTGTGTTGGTGTTTTCCCCTTAGTTTTTGATTATTTGTCTAGATGGGGCCTTTTAAAGTTGACTATTTGGTATGGGTTTTGCTCATTGTTGAATGCAGTATGGTGGCTTATAGTAAAGAGTTCTTCAGAAGAGTTTTGTCTAATGGGATATTTAGACTGACACTTTTGTCAAATTTGTCAGTTCGATTCTAAAGTTTTCGTGTCTGACCATCTTACAAGTAGCTAGCCTTCTCTCCAGCCTTAGTACATGTAGATTAGGAGGGACTGGATAGTAACCCTTGGCTAGAGAAGATGGTGTCAGATATTTGGACTGACTTTGTACATGTTGTAACAACATACATGTATGTCAGACATTTCAAATTGTTGCCAGTCAAATGATCCAGACTGACACTGGTTTTGTTTTACCCCTGTCAGTCCATCCTACTTGAGGTACATGTACATGTATATGGTTTGTCTGGCTAACCTTTATGTAGAGTGTTAGTACATACAGTACAGTATATTAAAGGTGTGCATATTATTAGGATTTCAGAGTTCTCAAAATCTTTTCTTCCCCTGGTGGTCTTTGAAGAAAATCTGCTGGTCCTCACTATTATTCTATTGCAAAATACCAAAATTGTGTCAGTACTTTGTAAAATTTTGTTGATCAAAACCCTTCGACCACCACTTTTTGAGTATTCTGGGATTTGATTTTCTTCAAATGACAGGTTGTTGAACTAAGTAATTTTTTGGCAATACGCATTATGCATGCAGGGCACGTGGTAACAGCAAATTACAGTTTTCAAGCTAAAAGTTATATACATGTACATGTATACATTGCTGAGTGTTTATTCATATATAAAAGGTGTGAATTTTTATGTTCACTGGAATTTGGTTTTCTTCCAAAAAAATTCTACAAATGTCTGAATGGTGAACATTGTCATTTTTAGTGAAATTATGCATGGTTTGTCCAGCTAATTTTTTACAGTTTTCAAACTTATACCTTATTATTATGTAGGGTTTCATTATGTATATTGATAGTGTGTGTGTTTTATCAAGATTTTGATTTTCTTTAAATCCATAAATTTTTATTGTGGGAGTGTCAAATGTGTCTTAGACACAACCATTTTCAAATTGTACATGTACCTGTTTTCTAAATCCCATGCTTGTGGCACTAAATTCATGCTCATCATCTTTGTCTAGTTTTAATAAAGTGTTGACGCATAATGTTAACTGAGCAGAATTCTGGGAAGAACAGATTAAGACCAAACAAACTTGTGTTGCAGTGTGTAAAGGTTTCTCAACTGATCTTAATGTTTTAATGTAAGGCTTGGCTTTGTTCAAATTTTTTTTTGCATACATACATGTACATGTATCAGTTGTTGTTGTAAAAGCTAATTTAATAAACAAATATATGCAACATAACTTATCAACCCTATTAATTTTTAGGCATAAAAACACATATTTTTACTTTTGCACAAAACAATGTTCATTTTCATTTGAAGCAATACAAGATATACTACTTTTACTGAATTTGACTGTCTGCCTTACATCTTATTCAAACACTTAAACTGGATGACAGTTGAACAGGGAATAAAATATCACAAGTTTGTGGTGACATTTAAGTGCATCAAAAATGATGCCCCAACATATCTTACCAGCAAGTTTCATTATGTTTCAGTTGAAAAAATATTGAATATTAATTATTTCATCATGTTTATTTTTTCATAACATTTTATGCAGTTGTACTGAACGTTATCATTATACTTGACTTTTATACTAATGTATACCATGTATATGTTTGCTTTTTATGCCCCACCTACGATAGTAGAGGGGCATTATGTTTTTCGGTCTATGCGTCCGTTTGTTCGCCTGTCCGTTCGTCTGTCTGTCCCGCTTCAGGTTAAAGTTTTTGGTCAAGGTAGTTTTTGATGAAGTTGAAGTCCAATCAACTTGAAACTTAGTACACATGATCCCTATGATATGATCTTTCTAATTAACCGGATTTTCGAAGTAAAAATCGGTTAATGATTTGGGGATGTACGGCGGGCGGGCGGCTGCCAAACAGTGTCCGTTCATTTACATGAAAACGCTTTGAAGAATTTAGATATGTTGTTTCCTGTGACTAAATGAAGGTCAAGTTCAATTTTCACGATTTTAGCTTTTCTCGTTGTTCAGTTATAGCCCTTTCCCAAGAATTCAATTTTTGATGAATTAATCCATTTCTCTACAAAGGGAAATAACTCATTGACATTGTATTAATGATAAATGACATTTTGGATTTTTTTTTCTTTTCTTTGGTAAATTGTTTGAGGAATTTTGTGGTAGGTTTGTTTGTTATTCATGTTATTCTGTATAAAATAATTTTCTGAATGCTATATATATATTTTTTTTTTTTTATGAAGTGAACTCCTTTAATTAGATAATAATCTATTTTTATTATAGGATATACTTCATTACATTTAAAGTTGTTGAAATTGATCATAGATAAGTTGCTGATCTGTATTAGTTTGTGACAAATGAAAGAAAAAATATATGGAACTATTAATTATATTTGAATATAATTTGAAAATAGATATACATTGTGTTACATCATATCTAATTTTAGAGAACTATTAATCATATCTAATGTTAGAGTACTATGTTAAACCATATTTCTGTTCCAAGGGAAATAACTCAAACTTATTCCATGAACACATGATAACATCAAAATTTCTTTATAACTATTTTTTTTAAGTCGTGTGTTATGAAGGTAGATGTCACAGTTGTTATGTGGTATTTTATTTTTATACGACCGCAAAAAAAATTTTGTGGTCGTATATTGGTATGACGTTGGCGTCGTCGTTGTCCGAAGACACATTAGTTTTCGCACTCTAACTTTAGTTTAAGTGAATGGATCTCAATGAAATTTTACCATAAGGTTCAATACCACAAAAGGAAGGTGGGGATTGATTTTGGGGGTTATGGTACCAACAGTTAAGGAATTAGGGGCCAACAATAAGCATTTTTGTAACTTCCAGACATAACTTGTGTGTAAGTGTATGGATCTCTCTGACATTATACCACAAGGTTCCATATCACAAAGGGAATGCTGGGATTGATTTTAGGAGTAATCACCTCCAAATTTTAGGAATTAGGGGCCAAAAAGGGGCAAAAAACAAGTATTTTTCTAGTTTCATGACAATAACTTGTGTGTAAGTGTAAGTATCTCTCTGACATTGTATCACAAGGTTCCATATCACAAAGGGAATGCTGGGATTGATTTTGGGGGATATTGCCTCCAAATTTTAGGAATTAGGGGCCAAAAAGGGGCAATAAACAAGCATTTTTCTAGTTTCATGACAATAACTTGTGTGTAAGTGTATGGATCTTTATGAAATTGTACTACAATGTTCCATATCACAAAGGGAAAGCTGGAATTGAGTTTGGGGGTAATTGCCCAAAAAGTTTAGAAATAAGGGGCCAAAAATAAGCATTTTTCTAGTTTCCAGACAATAACTTGTGTTCAAGTTTATGGATCTCTCTGAAATTGTACTGCAAGGTACCATACCACAAAGGGAAGGCTGGGATTGAGTTTGGGGTTGATGAATGATAAGGGGGTTCAAAAAATTTGGGTTTTTTTTTTTCCTTTTTTTTCTTTAAAATTTTCCATTTTAAATTGGTTATTTCTGATTTATATATAAAAGCAAATAATAATGATATGGTTTGAATAGGTAAATTAAAAATTTTTAAGTTCTTAGACCACTTTCATTCTGTGTCAGAAACCTATGCTGTGTCAAATATTTAATTACAATCCAAATTCAGTGCTGTATCAAGCTTGAATGTTGTGTCCATACTTGCCCCAACTGTTCAGTGTTTGACCTCTGCGGTCGTATCAAGCTGCGCCCCAGCGGAGCATTTTATTGTTGTGTGTGTTAATGTTTAATTTTTACATGATCCTGTTTGGGGTTCAGATTTGCAAATATCATTTTCATTATTAATTAGGTAATAATCTATTTTAAATATTCAATCATAATCCCAATTCAGAGCTGTTTTAAGCTTAAATTTTGTGTCCATACTTGCTCAACTGTTCAGGGTTCGACCTCTGCAGGAAAATCCGGTTTGCTGTCACTCGACAGCCTCTTGTTTTAATGCCACATTAGAGTTTTGACCCCAATTTTACGGTCCACTGAACATAGAAAATGATAGTGCGAGTGGGACATCCGTGTACTATGGACACATTCTTGTTTGTTTCTGTTTTTTCTATGACGAGGGCTTCAGGGAAGATTAGTTTTATAGCTAACTGTGTAACCGTTTTGTTGTTGTTGTTGTTACAAAATGTATGTAAACTTTGAAAAAAGCATTTTCATCAATTTGTGGAGACTTGATTCAAAAATTATTTGTTTTAGTTGTTATTTGCAGTGTTTTTCCTCTGAAAATGTTTGACAGCATAACATTCATATATCATTTCTTGATCTGAGGAGTTTGTTTCTTTTTAATGTAAAGTGTATGAGAAGTATGTGATATATTTTTTATTTATCCAAAATTGTGTGAAATGTTTCATTAGTCTTTATAATTATTACCAGTTCAGCATTCACAATAAACTTTTGCAGTTACAGGCTCAATGCTCATTTTTTATACGACCGCAAAAATTGAAAATTTTTTGGTCGTATATTGGTATGACGTTGGCGTCGTCGTCGTCGTCTGGCGTTGTCCGGCGTCGTCCGAAGACACATTGGTTTTCGCACTCTAACTTTAGTTTAAGTGAATGGATCTCCATGAAATTTTACCATAAGGTTCAATACCACGAAAGGAAGGTTGGGATTGATTTTGGGGGTTATGGTACCAACAGTTAAGGAATAAGGGGCCAAAAATAAGCATTTTTGTAACTTCCAGACAATAACTTGTGTGTAAGTGTATGGATCTCTCTGACATTGTACCACAAGGTTCCATATCACAAAGGGAAGGCTATTATTGATTTTGGGGGTAATTGCCTCAAAATTTTAGGAATTAGGGGCCAAAAAAGGGGCAAAAAACAAGCATTTTTCTAGTTTCATGACAATAACTTGTGTGTAAGTGTTTGGATATTTCTGAAATTGTACTACAAGGTTCCATATCACAAAGGGAAAGCTGGAATTGAGTTTGGGGGTAATTGCCCGAAACGTTTAGGAATTGGGGGCCAAAAAGGGGCCAAAAATAAGCATTTTTCTAGTTTCCAGACAATAACTTGTGTTCAAGTGTATGGATCTCTCTGAAATTGTACTGCAAGGTACCATACCACAAAGGGAAGGCTGGGATTGAGTTTGGGGGTGATGGGGGTTTCTTTTTTTTCTTTTTTTTTTCTTTTAAATTTTTCCATTTTAAGTTGGTTATTTCTGATTAATATTTAAAAGCAAATAATAATGATATGGTAGGAGATACACACCAAACAGGATGTGTAAATTATTATATAATAAGTATTGTGCAATAGCAAGAAATTTTCAATTGCACAGTATTGCACAATTGCAAGAAATCTTCAATTGCACAGTATTGCGCAATAGCAAGAAATCTTCAATTGCACAGTATTGCGCAATAGCAAGAAATATCCAATAGCACAATATTGCGCAATAGCAAGAAATTGTCAATTGTACAGTATTGCACAATAGCAAGAAATATTCAATTGCACAGTATTGTGCAAAAGAAGATACTTCGTATAAATTGCTAATTTCTTGATCAATTTCAATGGGGTTTTATTCTTGAATTCTTGGGGTTCTTTAATATGCTGAATCTAACCGTGTATTAAGTTTTTGGATTTTGGGCCCCGTTTTTAAATTGGTCCACATTGAGGTCCAAAGGGTCCAAAATTTAACTTTGTTTGATTTCATCAAAAATTGAATTATTGGGGTTCTTTGATATGCCGAATCTAACCGTGTATTTAGATTCTTAATTTTTGGTTCCGTTTTCAAATTGGTCTACATTAAGGTCAAAAGGGTCCAAAATTAAACTTAGTTTGATTTTAACAAAAATTGGATTTTTAGGGTTCTTTGATATGCTGAATCTAAACATGTATTTAGATTTTTGATTATGGGCCCAGTTTTCAAGTTGGTCCAAATCGGGGTCCAAAATTAAACTTTGTTTGATTTCAACAAAAATTGAATATATGGGGTTCTTTGATATGCTGAATCTAACCATGTATTTAGATTTTTGATTTTTGGGCCCCGTTATCAACTTTGTCCACATTGAGGTCAAAAGGGTCCAAAATTAAACTTTGTTTGATTTCATCAAAAATTGAATTCTTGGGGTTCTTTGATATGCTGAATCTAACCATGTATTTAGATTTTTTATTTGTGGACCCGCTATCAAATTGGTTCATATTGAGGTCAAAAGGGTCCAAAATTAAACTTTGTTTGATTTCATCAAAAATTGAATTATTGGGGTTCTTTGATATGCCAAATCTAACCATGTATTTAGATTTTTAATTTTGGGTCCCATTTTTAAATTGGTCTACATTAAGATCCAAAGGGTCCAAAATTAAACTTAGTTTGATTTTGACAAAAATTGAATTCTTGGGGTTCTTTGATATGCTGAATCTAAACATGTGTTTAGATTTTTGATTATGGGCCCAGTTTTCAAGTTGGTCCAAGTTGGGGTCCAAAATTAAACTTTGTTTGATTTCAACAGAAATTGAATATATGGGGTTCTTTGATATGCTGAATCTAAACATGTATTTAGATTTTAGATTTTTGGCCCAGTTTTCAAGTTGGTCCAAATTGGGGTCCAAAATTAAACTTTGTTTGATTTCAACAAAAATTGAATATATGGGGTTCTTTGATATGCTGAATCTTACCATGTATTTAGATTTTTTATTTGTGGGCCCGCTATCAAATTGGTTCATATTGAGGTCAAAAGGGTCCAAAATTAAACTTTGTTTGATTTAATCAAATTTGAATTATTGGGGTTCTTTGATATGCCAAATCTAACCGTGTATTTAGATTTTTAATTTTGGGTCCCGTTTTTTAAATTGGTCTACATTAAGGTCCAAAGGGTCCAAAATTAAACTTAGTTTGATTTTAACAAAAATTGAATTTTTGGGGTTCTTTGATATGCTGAATTTAAACATGTGTTTAGATTTTTGATTATGGGACCAGTTTTCAAGTTTGTCCAAGTTGGGGTCCAAAATTAAACTTTGTTTGATTTCAACAAAAATTGAATATATGGGGTTCTTTGATATGCTGAATATAAACATGTATTTAGATTTTAGATTTTTGGCCCAGTTTTCAAGTTGGTCCAAGTTGGGGTCCAAAATTAAACTTTGTTTGATTTCAACAAAAATTGAATATATGGGGTTCTTTGATATGCTGAATCTTACCATGTATTTAGATTTTTTATTTTGTGGGCCCGCTATCAAATTGGTTCATATTGAGGTCAAAAGGGTCCAAAATTAAACTTTGTTTGATTTCATCAAAAATTGAATTATTGGGGTTCTTTGATATGCCAAATCTAACCGTGTTTTTAGATTTTTAATTTTGGGTCCCGTTTTTAAATTGGTCTACATTAAGGTCCAAAGGGTCCAAAATTAGAATTAGTTTGATTTTAACAAAAATTGAATTCTTGGGGTACTTTGATATGCTGAATCTAAACATGTGTTTAGATTTTTGATTATGGGACCAGTTTTCAAGTTTGTCCAAGTTGGGGTCCAAAATTAAACTTTGTTCGATTTCAACAAAAATTGAATATATGGGGTTCTTTGATATGCTGAATCTAACCATGTATTTTGATTTTGGACATTGGACCATAATAGGTTAATTAAAAAAATTGAAGTTCTTAGACCACATTCTTTCTGTGTCAGAAACCTATGCTGTGTCAAATATTTAATCACAATCCAAATTCAGAGCTGTATCAAGCTTGAATGTTGTGTCCATACTTGCCCCAACTGTTCAGGGTTCGACCTCTGCGGTCGTATCAAGCTGCGCCCAGCGAAGCATTTTATTGGATTTTGTATAGATTCTATTGGCCTGTAGTAGAAATTTTAAAAAGCCATGGGCTTGATCTATGCCCAAGCTTGAAGACTGGTTGTGTGCAATTTATTTATGACTCCTAGATAAAGATGTAGGTTTACCAACATGACCAAGGGTCAATAATGCCACTGGAAATTCAAACTTTAAAATACATCCTCACTTTTACAGATTTGTTAATATTAGATTGAAATCCTCACACTAGTCACTTAATTCAACATGACAGATAAGGATGAAAAGGGAGATGAGGAGAAGATGTATGGGGGTTGTGAAGGACCTGATGCAATGTATGTCAAACTGGTGTCATCTGATGGTCATGAGTTCTATGTCAAAAGAGACCATGCACTGACATCTGGAACAATCAAAGCCATGTTAAGTGGGCCAGGTATGTTTTACCATAAGAAGAATACAATAGCAACTAAAATGGAAAGAACAATGAATAATTAAAATATACAATGCACATTCATGTACCTTGTAGAAAAATTACTGGTTCAACATATCCACAACAAGAAATACATTGTATAATACAGTTGACATTCAATTTTAATTTTGTTTTATGACACAGGCAGTGATTTCATAGCATTTTTATGTAAAATATTTTCAAAATGCCATGTTTAGAGAATATCAGAAAATTTGGCAAAGGAGTACATTAAACTAAAATCGAGTTTGTTATTAATTACAAAAAGTCAATAGTGGTAATAGCACTGAGGGCCATATGGCATTTGTGGACCTAAAAAACTTACTGTGGATTCATTTATTTTCATGGGTATCCAGGCCTAGGGTTTTCAATAAGTTTGAAGTGAACAGGCTGTTTACTAATTTGAAGTATCGGATAGAAGATGGGGGTGGGGTCTATGGGGGCTTGCCCCCCAGAAATTTTTGTTTGACTTGTATTGAAAATGTTACAAGTTCGGAAAAATGAGGTTTCATAGGAATAATGTCTTTTTTTTTAGCGTTTGTTTTAGTAAGTTTAATCTTATTGGTAAGTTGTGAGGGGATTGGTTATCAAATAAAAATATTTTGATATCAATAATGATCTTAATTGTAATCAATCATATTGCCAGTTATTTTCAAAAGGTGAAAAAGCAGCTGATGGGTCATAATTAACTATTACCAAGAAATCAATGCAATCAAGTTAAGTAAATAAGAAACAACCTCAAAACCTGGATCATAAAAGTTACCATTCAAAACACACAGAAATAATCGATTCTAACCATGAAGAAATTGTCAGTATTTTTCCTAGCCTAGCCAAACATACATTTAAATTTTGTGAAGAAATGAAAATGTGAAAAAAATAACATGCACAAAAACAAATGCAGGCCAACCTATATGAAATTTTTATGATTTATTTTTTTATAATAGAAATTTTCAGAGTAGGTTAGACTATAAAACTATAACAGAAACTGGAAACAGGATAAACAATACATGTACATAGACCTGTTGTTACACTGACATATTGTCATTTGTGTGTTCTCGTTGAGCTCTGTGTCAATAATTATATATACTTGACAACCATATCAGCGTTAAATGGATCCGAAAATTATTATGATCTTTATTAAAGAATTGTCAGTCACATCAACAACTATCGAAATTCATGTGTAAATTGCATAATATGTGATTCTGTTTTCACCTGCTTCTTTTTTCTTGGGTTGTAAAGAAATCAAGCAATGTCGATTTTCTTTAGCTTGTTTACTTGTCATCTTGGATCAACGTATTTTCTCTGTGTGACAAAAGGGTGCTTTACTTATATATAGAATTATCCTTTTTCAAAGCGCACAAATGATTGCATTAAAAATCATTTCGGATTCTCGATCCTTATCCATCTTCATAACGTTGTCAAGAATCTATAAATATATTATAACGCGGAACTCGACGAGAACACCTAAACAAAGCACAAGCAAAGACAAAAGTCAATTTCAATCAAACAACTTGTTAATACGCAACGATAGCACAGTTTTATTTATTTTATTTTTATTTAAAATTCAGGATGAGAACATATGAATATAAACACTGCTTTGTCCTAGACCGTCACGATTAGCCAGATTTTTAATGTGTTAGTTCATAAGGTCTGCAGGAAGACATATTACCCTTCCCATCTTTTTGAAATCTTGATGTCTTTTAAGCCATTTTACTGTTAAAAGGTATTGAATTTCTTGTTAATATTCTTTCTATGTTGCAATACTATATAAATCATCATCTCACTTTACTGATATAGAACGGCTGATAGTTAAAAAAATAAATAGAGTATATAACATTTTTTTAACTTATCACAGGGCTTATAATTGAGTTGAGTAATCATTCATTATATAATATATTTTTGATTGGATTGATTTAAAAACTACATGTATACAAACATAAACATAACATGAAATTAAAAATTACACATTATAATGATTTATTACAATAAGAGTTACTATGGTGAACATTGATTTTATGGCCACCATTTATCAAAGTGTGTCACTTGCTGTACTGTACATGTTGGCCATAACTCATTCTTTTACTACCAAAGGGAAGCCACCCCACCACTACATCTGCATTAGTCCAAATAATTATATCTTGGAAGGTTATTTTAATTTTTTGCTGTGATGCCTTCCTACAACGCCATAACGCTGAAGCCATTTTTTTCATCTGGACTTTGAGAGAGAATTTTTGGTGCTACTTTGAGACCCAATTTTGCTATGAAATCTTCATTGATGGCCAGCATTTTTGCCGTTATACAAATTCTTACCTTTTGTATGCTTTTTGGTGCAAAATATTTCCAGAAATATCCAAAACTGCAAAAGTAATGATAGAATAAGTTACAATTCCATTTGGGATGTGCAATGACCTACTTCATTTTTAAAATGGTTTCCCTAAATTCCCAAGATCCTTCACTTTTGGAGAGTATAAAATACCAAACTCAGTAATATTTGACGAACCTAAATTACCAGATAATGTAAATGGAACGTTCCCAAAAATCAGGTCCATCAAATTTTACAGAGTTTGGTATTTTGGACTGCATCTGCATATTTATTATTTTTAAAGCATTAAATTCTTAATATTAGAGAGACACTGCATCACATTTATGTTATCAACATAAGATTTGGGGGAAGTATATATTTAAATTAAATTGTCCTCTTGTCTAATCCCCAAAAATGACTAAAAAATTAAAATCTTGTATTGTTTAACATATAATGGTAATTCTTGTCCTATTAAATTAGTTACCAACCTTTTTTTTTAGGTTGTACATGTGCATGAAGCACCAATTCAAATTCTTGCTTGAAGTCAACTAAACATCCAGATTGACTTTGACATACAATGTATTTATGAAATTATGTCTTTATTCATTCTTAATGTAAACATATGATTGGTTGTATGATGTACCTCTCTGTTACAGATTGTTTCTGTTTTATAGAACATTATTCTTTTGTTTTTAGGACAGTTTGCCGAAAATGAAACAAATGAAATAAATTTTAGAGAAATACCGTAAGTACACACAAAGTATTTAAAAAAAGTTAAGCTTACAACAGAAAAGTGCTGCATATTTTTGCTGATCTATCTATTCACAATTTATTATTCAAATGAGAAGAAAAAGGTAACAAAGATTATAGACTTGCATGTACAAAAATTTACATGTAAATGATTTTACTTTTGCATGACGGCTTAAAATGGTAAGAATGATTGATGGAAGAGTGTTAAGCAAAAAATATACTGACATTTTGTTGAAAAAATACTTATTACATTTATTTATAAGCTTTTTCATTTAAATTACTAAAAATTAACTTCTATTGGTCAACTCTGGCTAGGGACTTTTATTTTTGACACACAAAGACACATTAAAATCTAACAATAGAGATTGATAGTTTGGTAAGTAAAGGACAATTATAGACAAATAAGAAACAAATCATCATTTAATGGTGTATTAATTTAAATGTGAATATTCCCCCATCACAGAGTGGGCGAGGGTATATAGTGCTGCCAATGATGATCTTGTTTCTCCTGCCAAACCTTTTTTTCTTGTGTTTTAAGAAAGTGATCTGAATTTTGTAGAGCTCACAACAAAAGTTGGAAGTGAGACATACCGACCCTAAATTTCGATTGCTGCAGCCATAATCAACATTTACATGTGTAGGTTAATTTTTTTAGACATCAATGACTTTGTCAAACCTTCACAAAATTTTATGAAACTTGGACAGAAGCTTTTTCATGAGCTAAAGACGGAATCTAGAGCAAAATTCTGATATTTTCTTTCTTAATTTTTCTTTATTTTATTGATAGAAAGATAAAAAAAAATTGCAGTTACTGGGTCAGAGTTATAAGACATCACTAACATTGTTAAACCTTTATGAAATGCTATGATACTTGGACAAATGATTCTACATAATCAAGAAATAGCACTTGTAGAAAAGGCTTTTTTTTTAAATTTTTATGTATTTTAATGATAGATGGGACTTATATTTTTGCATTGAACATTAATGTCTTTTATACTGATAGCAGCAATCACAGGTACGATACAGGTCTCCATGATACCCTTGACAAATTTTTATACGACCGCAAAAAAATTTTTGTTGTATATTGGTATGGCGTCGTCGTCCGAAGACACATTGGTTTTCGCACTCTAACTTTAGTTTAAGTGAATGGATCTTTATGAAATTGTACCACAAGGTTCAATACCACAAAAGGAAGGTTGGGATTGATTTTGGGGGTTATGGTAATAACAGTAAAGGAAAAAGGGGCCAAAAATAAGCATTTTTGTAACTTCCAGACATAACTTGTGTGTTAGTGTATGGATCTCTCTGACATTGTACCACAAGGTTCCATATCACTAAAGGAATGCTGGGATTGATTTTGGGGGTAATTGCCTCCAAATTTTAGGAATTAGGGGCCAAAAAAGGGGCAAAAAACAAGCATTTTTCTAGTTTCATGACAATAACTTGTGTGTAAGTGTATGGATCTTTCTGAAATTGTACTACAAGGTTCCATATCACAAAGGGAAAGCTGGGTTTGAGTTTGGGGGTAATTGCCCTAAACGTTTAGGAATTTGGGGCCAAAAAGGGGCCAAAAAACACCTTTTTTTCTAGTTTCCAGACAATAACTTGTGTTCAAGTGTATGGATCTCTCTGAAATTGTACTGCAAGGTACCATACCACAAAGGGAAGGCTGGGATTGAGTTTGGGGGTGATGAATCATAATGGGGGTTCAAAAAATTTTGGGGGGGGATTTATTTTTTTTTCCTTTTTTTTATTTTTTTCCTTTTTTGTTTCTTTTAAAATTTTCCATTTTAAGTTGGTTATTTCTGATTTATATTTAAAATCAAATAATAATGATATGGTAGGAGATACACACCAAACAGGATGTGTAAATTATTATATAATAAGTATTGTGCAATAGCAAGAAATTTTCAATTGCACAGTATTGCACAATAGCAAGAAATCTTCAATTGCACAGTATTGCGCAATAGCAGGAAATCTTCAATTGCACAGTATTGCGCAATAGCAAGAAATATCCAATAGCACAATATTGCGCAATAGCAAGAAATTGTCAATTGTACAGTATTGCGCAATAGCAAGAAATATTTAATAGCACAGGATTGTGCAAAAGAAGATACTTCCTATAAATTGCTTATTTCTTGACCAATTTCAATGGGGTTTTATTCTTGATTTCATGGGGTTCTTTAATATGCTGAATCTAACCGTGTATTTAGTTTTTGGATTTTGGGCCCCGTTTTTAAATTGGTCCACATTGAGGTCCAAAGGGTCCAAAATTAAACTTTGTTTGATTTCATCAAAAATTGAATTATTGGGGTTCTTTGATATGCCGAATCTAACTGTGTATTTAGATTCTTAAATTTTGGTTCCGTTTTCAAATTGGTCTACATTAAGGTCAAAAGGGTCCAAAATTAAACTTAGTTTGATTTTAACAAAAATTGAATTCTTAGGGTTCTTTGATATGCTGAATCTAAACATGTATTTAGATTTTTGATTATGGGCCCAGTTTTCAAGTTGGTCCAAATCGGGGTCCAAAATTAAACTTTGTTTGATTTCAACAAAAATTGAATATATGGGGTTCTTTGATATGCTGAATCTAACCATGTATTTAGATTTTTGATTTTTGGGCCCCGTTATCAACTTTGTCCACATTGAGGTCAAAAGGGTCCAAAATTAAACTTTGTTTGATTTCATCAAAAATTGAATTCTTGGGGTTCTTTGATATGCTGAATCTAACCATGTATTTAGATTTTGGATATTGGACCATAATAGGTGAATGTCCAATTTAAAATTTTTAAGTTCTTAGACCACATTCAATCTGTGTTAGAAACCTATGCTGTGTCAAATATTTAATCACAATCCAAATCCAAAGCTGTATCAAGCTTGAATGTTGTGTCCATACTTCCCCCAACTGTTCAGGGTTCGACCTCTGCGGTCGTATCAAGCTGCGCCCTGCGGAGCATTTTATTGGTTATGATGTGTATAATGAATGACTCCCAGATCAAGTTCCTGTTTAGTTCTGGTTGACCAACTTTTGGCAGAATTACTGCCCGTTGACTTTTATGATAAATGTATTTGTCCTCACCTTTTTTTTTAAAAGTCATCTGGCACAAAGGGACAAATATAACAAAAGTTAAGATGAATGTTCCTATGGGAATTTAGTTTAAAAGTTATATCTCGAGATGTGATCCATAGATCTACAACGTTGTTGATAAAATTGAAACAGAGGGTAAAACTGCAGTTGCTATGACCCCGCTGTAAGAAACGGGGGCATTAAGTGTTATCCATGACTGTCCGTCCTTCTGTCTGTCCCATTTCATTCTGCACTCTAACTTAAGCTTGCCTCATGCAAATTTTATGAAACTCAAACACATTGCTAAGAACAAAAAATAGCAGACAGAGTTCGAATTTGGGCAGTGAGTCACTTACCGTTCTAGAGTTATGCCCATTTTTAACTTGGAAAATTGCAAAGCTTGAGCGGGGGAATTCATGTCCTCAGACACATTCTTCTTTAATTTGCTTATATTTTAAAAACTGGTTTATTCCAAGCAAAATTGGCAGGGTTTAAATTATCACCAGGTCAAGGTCTATCTTCAGTAAAATTTTCAGATAAGTGGCGCAATCCATTTTCAAGTAATTGCCCCTGAAATGTCCAGTTTTAGCAGTTTTTGGTTATTCTTAAAAAACAATTATAGATAGAGGGAATCTTTGAACAGCAAAAATGATCAGCAACATCAGATCTACAATTAACTCATATGGCTGAAATAGTCAATCAACCTCAGATGAGTTACTGACCTTTAAAGAAGATTTTTATGCCCCAGCTACGATAGTAGTAGGGGCATTATGTTTTCTGGTCTGTGCGTACGTACGTCCGTTCGTTCGTCCGTCTGTCCCGCTTCAAGTTAAAGTTTTTGGTCAAGTCAGGTTAAAGTTTTTGGTCAAGGTAGTTTTTGCTGAAGTTGAAGTCCAATCAACTTGAAACTTAGTACACATGTTCCCTATGATATGATCTTTCTAATTTTAATGCCAAATTAGAGTTTTGATCCCAATTTCACAGTCCACTGAACATAGAAAATGATAGTGCGAGTGGGGCATCAGTGTACTATGGACACATTCTTGTTATCAACTTTTTGGCAGAAATTAAAGGAGATAGAGAATCTTTACAATGTAAAAATGTTCAGCAGTATTAGATCTACAAATAAGTAAAATGGCAGAAATTGTCAAATGATTCATTACAGGAAGGAGTACTACTACTTGTTATAACCATTAAAAACATGCATTTGTCTCTATAAAAAAAATTTATAACACAAGGTACCTAATTGGCTTTGCCATTTTGCTATGAAAAGACAAAATAGTTTACTGTTGACCTACATGTACTTGGAAGGCCTGCTACGAATGATTCCAACAACATAAATATGTGTGTTATACACCATTGTGTAGATTATATAATGTAGATTTACGAAATAACAAGTTTCAGTGGGATAGAGAACTGCAGAATTGAAATATAACAAAAGTTAGCGACAAAGTGTTATTTCTCAAAAATGCCAGTTGGGTACCTTGTGTTAAATTAAGATACTGTATATAGGTAATTATTTTCAAAGTGCCTTGCATTAAAAGATGTTTTTGTCTCGCCTTGACGGAGTCAAAAAGCGAGACATAGGTATGCTGTTTCGGCGGCGGCGGCGTCAACAATGTATTAGTTTGTGATTAGGTCTAGTTCATGGTGAACCACTAGTGGTAGGTCAATGATATTTGGTATGCAGTTGTATTAGCACTGGCACATCTCATTACCATGGAGATTATTTGGCCCTGCCCCCTCAGTCAAGGTCTATTGACTTTGAAACTTTTCATAGTTAACATGTATTAGTTTGTGATTAGGTCAATTTATGGGGAACCACTAGTGGTGGGTCAGTGATATTTGGTATGCAGTTGTATAAGCATAGGCATATCTCATTTCCATGGAGATTATTTGGCTCCGCCCCCTTAGTCATGGTCTATAGACTTTGAAAATTTTGCTAAGTTTACATGTATTAGTTTGTGATTAGGTCAGTACAAGGGGAACCATTAGTGGTAGGCCAATGTTAATTGGTGTTCAGTTGTATAAGCATTAGCACATCTCATTTCCATGGAGAATATTTGGCCCCGCCCCCTCAGTCATGGTCTATTTACTTTGAAACTTTTGCTTAGTTTACATGTATTAGTTTGTGATTAGATCAGTTAAAGATGAACTGCTAATGTTAAGTCATTGATATTTGGTATGCAAATTTATTGGTGTTTGCAAGTATCGTTTCCATGGAGATTATATAGCCCCACCCCTGATCATGGTTCATTGACTTTGAAACTTTTACATTGTTTACAAGTTAATGTTTGTGTTTAGGTTTGATTAAAGGGAACAACTTATGATAAGTCAATGGTATTTGGTCTGCAGTTGTATTAGCATTGGCACATATCATTCCATGGAGATTGTTTAGCCATGTACCTTCAGTCATGGTTCATCGACTTTGAATATTTGCATTACTTACATGTTAAAGTATTGCAAATTTATTTTCCACATTTGCATTATCAAAATTACAAAAAGGCGAGACATATCTCTGTGATAACAGTTTATTACCTTTTTTTTGTGTTTTCTGCAGAAACTACAGACAGAGAGAAAATGTAAATTGCAAAGATGTTCAGAAAAAATTTAAACAAGTAAATCATCATGTGGAAAATTTTCATTTAACCCCTTATAAGGAGTTACTGCCCTAGAAAGACAATTTTATCAATTTTTGTGTTTTTGTCTTTTATCTTAAAAACTGATCAAGAGATCCTTTGAACAGCAAATATGATCAGATAGATATATAAGATCTACAATTACAAATAAGTTAACATGACCAAAATCAGTGGACTCCTTGAAGGAGTAAATGTTAATGATCAATGTAAAAAATAATTTTTTTTTTGCAGGTCACATGTTTTGCAAAAGGTATGCATGTATTTTACATATAAAGTGAGGTATACCAACAGTTCGACAGAGATTCCAGAGTTTCCTATTGCTCCGGAAATAGCGCTGGAACTTTTAATGGCTGCTAATTTCCTTGATTGTTGAAATGTATTGTATTTTTTCTTTTTATATTGTGTTATCCTAAATAGTTTTTGTGGTTAAATTATAAAGTCTTAGAAATGTTAACCATCATATTAAGTTAAGCTTTGAAATTTGTGTAGCAGTCAGAGAAATAAATTGCATATCATCATTAAAAGTGAAACACAGATTGCTTTTTTTTGCCATAAAACAATTTTAGCTTATAACTTAGGTTAAGGAAATGGTCAGATATTTCAGTTTAATCAACACATTTATATAGAGGGGAATTTGAATGTGCCAATATTATATAATTCTTTTAAATTTTCTATTTTATGTAAAACGTATATGTGGATGCTTAGGAAATCTCATATTTTATTGTTGTTTTCATTGATGTCTGCAATACTCTTTTTTTGAACCTATCATAATTATACACAAAAGTTACAATGAAGGTCTTGATAAGTTTTGAGAAATGTATACATGTATATGTATATGTGCATGTGTAAATTGCTTATTTATTTACATGTAATCATCCCATTTCATGTGTAATCTCTTGTGTTGTATTTCTTCAGTCACTACTACTTTTGTGTCAATTTTTATCAATAGTTTGATTAAAGTAATGTGCTGTATACTTTCTGAAGATTTAATTTTAGTTTCCTACAAAATTTACTTTCTACACAATTTACTTTGAAACCCTTTTCCAAAATCTTGAGTTCTAAAAGTCAGTATGTTTTATATTACTACAAAAAGTTATAAGTTGTAGAAAACAATTTTTGTCCATGTGTATTGCATTAAATAAATCTTTTTTTAAGTTATTATATGAACCTTATTCTTTCATGCTTTCCAAAATTAAAGATTTCTTTCAGCTTTTAGGAAAAAATCGTTTGGTAAAGTTTGATAAATGCCACTCCTGCCTAACAAATTTTGTCAAATAATTATGGATGAAAATAACACTTTTTGAATATTTTGTGTCTGGAGGGCTTTTCTGGATTAACCTTCATCAGGAAACCTTGAACTCACTGAAACATTTGAAAGCCCAAGATATATAAATAGATGAATATCTTAGGTCAACTAAGCCTGAAGGAGTTAGAACCCTAGTTTAAGAAAATTATTAATTTATCAATACTGTAATTGGCCTTGTATAGTTTGCACTGGTACATTGTCCGCAACCCCCTTCTCGCCACAAGAATTCCGGTTAAAAAACTTTTTTGTAACTGTTAGAAAAAGTCTGATGAAACTGGTAATTTCAAATCGTGTGTGATCGTTTGCGGTATTTTCATGGAAAAACCCGTTTTCCATCATCAAATAGAAGTTGAAAATGCTTGTAAATGATTCTAGAACACTTCACGAGTGTTAAAATAAGTCAAAATCACAACAAAAAAAACAATTTAGAAACTTGTGTATGTTTAAACCGGAAATTCCAATAGCACATGTTAATGAAAATAAATACAGTGAGAGTGTACAGAAAATCCGTACTTTATAGATATCACTAGAATATGACTTTGATAGTAAAACAGTTCCATTCTTGAGTATATTATGTTTAACATATCTATCTCACTAATGTTTGAAGGATCTTAAGCTAATGCAAAACACATGCATCAGTATGAAACACCAAAACAGAACGAATACGGTAACCGATTACGTTTCGTAGTCTATACATCGTATCAGTTTATATTTGATATTGAATAAAAATTACATATTAATCATGTTAATATGGATTAGGTAAAATTATTTGTTTTGAAAATGAGAAGAGGGCCCTCTACAATTTCAATAACACACATGGCGGAATGTAAACAAACCGCTGGAACAGTCTGGAAATGGAATTTTTTCTCTTATTTCTTTCTTATCGTACTCTATAGTCTGCACCCCTGTCTGGCAGGTTCAATTTTGGAGAATAAAACCGCGGACTATACAAGCCTGAATTCGGTAGACCATTATATGTAATGTTCAATGATTTTCTAGAATTTGTATTGATTTTTAACAGTCCTCAAGACAGTCAGGATGGCTCTTTTGAAATACCTACTTGGCCTTTCATGAATCCTGCAGAATTCCAAATTATGTGCCAGTTATTATTTCTTTGTTCAAGTGAGTGGTTAATGGGGTGTAGAAAGATCAGCATGTCTTTGTGTCTGTCTATATCAACTTTTGTATCCTTTGTTTGATTCACTTCAAATTTTGTAGAATAAAAGATCATGATGTGCAAACATTACCATGTGAAAGAATTTTTATTCTGTATAGGTTATCAGGAAATATACCCCATTTACTGTAGAAAATTTTTACCTTTTCTAAACCAATCTTGTCGATACAACTCATCATACATGGTTTATCACATGTACATAAAACTTTGAAGATTTGCTTGCAGTTAGGATTTTCCAGTTCATTGAATTTTTATACAACAGCAAAAAAAATTTATTTTGCGGTCGTATATTGGTATGACGTTGTCGTCGTCGTCTTCTGAAGACACATTGGTTTTCGCACAATAACTTTAGTTTAAGTGAATGGATCTCTATGAAATTTTACCATAAGGTTCAATACCATAAAAGGAAGTTTGGGATTGATTTTGGGGGTTATGGTACCAACAGTTAAGGAAAAAGGGGCCAAAAATAAGCATTTTTGTAACTTCCAGATAATAACTTGTGTGTTAGTGTATGGATCTCTCTGACATTGTACCACAAGGTTCCATATCACAAAGGGAATGCTGGGATTGATTTGGGGGGTAATTCCTTCAAAATTTTAGGAATTAGGGGCCAAAAAAGGGGCAAAAAACAAGCATTTTTCTAGTTTCATGACAATAACTTGTGTGTAAGTGTATGGATCTTTCTGAAATTGTACTACAAGGTTCCATATCACAAAGTGAAAGCTGGAATTGAGTTTGGGGGTAATTGCCCAAAACACTTAGAAATAAGGGGCCAAAAATAAGCATTTTTCTAGTTTCCAGACAATAACTTGTGTTCAAGTGTATGGATCTCTTTGAAATTGTACTGCAAGGTACCATACCACAAAGGGAAGGCTGGGATTGATTTTGGGGGTAATTGCCTCAAAATTTTAGGAATTAGGGGCAAAAAAGGGGCAAAAAACAAGCATGTTTCTAGTTTCAGGACAATAACTTGTGTGTAAGTGTATGGATCTTTATGAAATTGTACTACAAGGTTCCATATCACAAAGGGAAAACTGGGTTTGAGTTTGGGGGTAATTGCCCTAAATGTTTAGGAATTTGGGGCCAAAAAACAAGCATTTTTACAGTTTCCAGACAATAACTTGTGTTCAAGTGTATGGATCTCTCTGAAATTGTACTGCAAGGTACCATACCACAAAGGGAAGGCTGGGATTGAGTTGTGGGGTGATGAATCATAAGGGGGTTCAAAAAATTGGGAGGGGGATTTTTTTTTTCCTTTTTTTCCTTTTTTTTTTTTCTTTAAAATTTTCCATTTTAAGTTGGTTATTTTTTATTTATATATAAAAGCAAATAATAATGATATGGTTTGATTTCATCAAAAATTGAAATATTGGGGTTCTTTGATATGCTGAATCTAACTGTGCATTTAGATTCTTAATTTTTGGTCCAGATTTCAAATTGGTCTACATTAAGGTCCAAAGGGTCCAAAATTAAACTTAGTTTGATTTTAACAAAAATTGAATTCTCGGGGTTCTTTGATATGCTGAATCTAACCGTGTATGTATTAAGATTTTGGATATTGGATCATAAACGGTAAATTAAAAAAAAGTTCTTAGACCACATTCATTCTGTGTCAGAAACCTATGCTGTGTCAAATGTTTAATCACAATCCAAATTCAGAGCTGTATCAAGCTTGGATGTTGTGTCCATACTTGCCCCAACTGTTCAGGGTTCGACCTCTGCAGTCGTATCAAGCTGCGCCCAGCGGAGCATTTTATTGTTACTTGTGCCCCTTTCAACCTAGAAATTTTGACACAAGAGACATTGTCATCACAACTCCACCTTCAAGGTTAATTCAACATTAATCTTGCTACATTGTTAGATTCTAATATATATATGTCAAGTGAGTGGTATGTTCCAGGTCACACTGAGATCTTTTTTAGTTATACCCCTTTGAACTTGGAAATTTTGACAAAACTGACCTTGCAACGTAACTTCTACGTGGTTTGTTGTATAACATGATAATAACTACATTTTTATATCCTCATATTCCTAAGTGCATATGGGTAGGATGTTCTGTTCCATTGAGGATTGTTGGCTATTGATTCTTTTTACAGTGACCTGATTGTTAGTGTTGCTCTCCTGTTGCACTAATAATCAAAAGTTCTGACCAAATTGCAATTTGTTTCATCAAACCGTATTGTTTGACTGAACAGAATCTTTAACCAACTGCTAGAAACAACCATAGTCAAGTCATCAAAGTGCAAAGTGATGAAATAAAGCATACTCGCAATCCTATAATAATCATATTCCACTTCGTGGCTACAATGATAGTGTGTACTTTTGAAAGGTAAGGTGGTGATTTTTGAATTGTTTATAAAATGTCCATTTTAATTCTTAGAATTCTTTCTTCTAAATGCTTTTATGCTCCCACCCAAGCGTAGGTGGCATTGAATTTTACCCTTGTCCGTCCATCTGTCCGTACATATATGCCTAATTTGCCATTCCCGCACTAATTACCACCAAACACTGATCAAGTTCATTGATGATTTTCCCCATTTTCAAGTTACCGTATATTCCTTTATAAATTGAAAAATTGGCAAATTTGCTGTTTCTGCAAACTTTCTTTCGTTTGCCTCACCCAATTGTTATGAAACTTATACACAATGCTTATTACCACCAAACAGATCAAGATCGAATTTGGGTGGCGTTATTTGTCACCGTTTTCAAGTTATGTCCCTTTGTGAATGGAAAAAAAATGCTGAATTTGCCATATATTTACAAGTGGGGGCATCTGTGTCCCATTGACACATTCTTCATTTATTTTTTTGCCCCCGCCATAACGGAGGGGGCATTAAGTGTAACCCTTGTCGTATATTCCGAAATCGGTTTCCGTTCTCCTACTTTAGTTTGCCTCAACCAAATGTTATGACACTTATACATAATGCTTATTACCACAAAACAACTCAGATCAAGTTTGAATTTATGGGGGCATCATTTTAACTGTTCTAGAGTTATGCCCCTTTTACAAATGGAAAAAAATTCTGATTTTTTCGTATCTGTTCTCAAACAAGTTTAAACCAACCAAATGTTCTGAAACTTATACACAATGCTTATAACTACAAAATTCCGATCAAGTTCGAATTTGGGTGTCGTCACTTTTACCGTTCTTGAGTTATGTCCCTTTATAAAGTGATATGCAAGCAGGGGCATCGTCTGTGTCCCATCGACGCATTCTCTATTTATTTTTATACATGATTCAAAGCTGTCTTTAAATTGAAATATGAAATACTCTGAAATTTGTCTTCATGAAATTCGAAAGGGAAATAAGATAGTGACTCCAATCAATATGAAGAGATAATGTTAGATTATCTCCCCATAAAAACGCATAGACAACATATATATTTTACTGTATGTTTATGTTTTCATTCAAAGTGATGTCTTATTCTTGTAGACATAGAAGGAATAGTATGAAAACATAGTCTGGACATATTTTTGGCAATTAAAAATTAGTACCTCTCACCTATCAAATGACTCATTAAAATAAGAATATATATAGAATTTTTAAACATTTTCTCAATAGCCATGAAGTGGAATTCAAGTTTAAAGGATTGTAAATATGCTTTCTGTTATCCCTTTGCAACCTTATGAATTGACTGTTTCTTTTAAACAGTTTGTGAAAATTTCTGACATGTTGAACAA